GATTTTTTTTTTAGCTCAGTCACAATCTCCTGATTCTCCTCACAGCGACTGATTCGATGTTCTGCCTCTCTGCTTTTGTCTCAGTGAATATTGATTGCAGCTATTGTTTTCCTGAGTGCCCCGTGTTCCCTGTGACACCATCAGTATCTGAGACTGAACTGTCGACACGTCACACACATTATTTCGCCTGCCAGTCAGAGTCTCCTCTTCCTTCTCTTTTCCTGCAGCAGAGGAGCACAAACACGAGGAAACAGCTTCTTCTTTTTTTTTTTTTTAACTCCCCTTCAAAATGCGTTCAGGGGAGACGATGTTTCAGTAATTTTATAATTTAATGTTTTGCCTTCCAAACCTGAAGGCAGTCACTGTAAATAATTCTGCTCTTCAGCTTCTCGATGAAGACAAAGAAAAACAAAAAAGGTGTTGACATGTTGTGGTTACGGTGAGGGCGGGGCTTCCTGTGTCCTCACCTGGAGGGAGGTTCTTTGGCGAAGTCGGGCAGAGGGTAGCTGACGTAGTCCTCGTCCAACAGGAACACATCGGTGCTGGTCAGGATCAAAGTCCTGGGCTGGAGGACAGGAGCTGAGGCGGAGCCAGAACCAGAGGAGGAGTGTCCTGAGAGAGTGGAGACCTGGCTGGGCAGACTGCTGGGGACCTGGACCTGAAGGAAAGGGACAAAGAGCAGGTAAAAATATTAATGATTATTAAGCAGACCAATACAGAGACTGGAAATATAAAATCCATTATATGTAGACCTGCAGATATTGTTTATATTAAAACTTTTTTCATACTGGTGACAAATAATATCACACGAGGAAAGTGCAAATCGTACAAACTAAACTTTTTAAAAGGAACAAATAAATGGGTGGAGGTAATAGTTAGAGGTGAATTACAACGATTTTTAAACCTGATTCCACTTGGGGGAAGTGGACAAAGGCTGTGAACACTTGTTAGCAAACAGTTTCCCATTTATACATTCAGCAGACACGGAGCCACATTAGCATTCATTCGGAGTCGTGCTGCTTATCTGCTGAATGTTTCACAACAAAGAACATCGCTATGAGATCTGTGAGAGTCAATAAAAACAGTGAAGTTAAAGAGACTTAAGACACTATAAAGCTCTGTAGGCTTGAGGGGAACTTCAGTCAGGTGAGTGTTTGTGATCCATTACCAATATTAAAATATTAATTATAGCTGCTTTAAATGAATAGTTCGACATTTTGAGAAATATTCTTAATGCTGATTAAATTTCAAATATCCAGCTACTGACACATTTAAAGCTTAATAATGTAGAAAACACAGTGTATGTTTCCAGTTTTGTGCAGGAACTATGTGAACAGCTGGTCGCAGTCAGTGTGTGCAGCTTCCTGTGGTGTTGTCGTCACATTGAGGTTGCCACTGAAGCACTGGGCGGATGGATACACCATGTTTCAGTCCTCTAAAATCACAAACTACAATTAAAATTCTTACCTGGAAGACCAGCAGGTACAGCAGGACGTTGAAGGAGCGTGAGGACGAGGACGCTGCGCTGGCCGGAGTCTTCCTCTCTGCCACGATGAAGGTCAGGTCTCCCATCTCTTCCTCACTGGGATAAATAAACTTCACCCTGCTGCTGTGGACCAGCTCGTAGTTCTGCATCTTACCTGCAGGGGAAGACAAAATCCCATCTGTTACCATTGTCAAGTTGACACCAGCTCAGATAGATATAGAGAGAGATTGACTGATATACTTTATTGATCCCAAGATAGAAAACTATTTTGTTAAAGCAGCGTGACATCCAGATGGACGGGGAATTCACAACATAAAGGATCTACTCCAATACAATATAAATACAATAAAATATAAACATAAAATAAAATACTATACACATCAGACAAGTGTGCAAAGACGTTTGAAGGTAGAGGGAAGGAAGGAATTTGTGCAAATTCACAGAAGGAGCAGACAAAGACACAAGTAAGGTGTGAGAGATTTATTTATTTAGGTTAAGTTTTCCTGTATCGGTCCTTGTGAGAGCGAAACAGAACCAGCCTGTTCCAAAATGGACTAACAGTTCCTCCAGTGTCTTCTCCACCACAACTTCAAAGGTATCTGGTTTTGCAACGAATTACGGAGGCAGCCTTAATCTGTTTATTAAGTCTGCTGATGTTGCCAACAGACTGAGGGAAGATTTCCAACATTTTGCTGCTCACATTGAAAGATCTCAGCTTCCTCTGGAAATAGTCTGCTCATTCCCCTTCTTATATACCGAGTCAGCTCTGCTCTTCCAGTTAAATCTGTGGTCAATGTGGATGAAAAAACTTCCTAATTTTAATAAATCAAACAAATTATTCTAACTTTGCAGACATATAGTTAGGGCTACGATGATATAAACCATGAAAGACAATGTTTTTAGAAGGTGGGTCACATTATTATTTGAGGACTCTGTTCTATTTCTTCCTGTTACAATAATAGACAGTAGCATTATGGGTTGCATTTAACCCTAATATTGTTAGGCTAGCATGTTTCTTCATGTCCGTTAATATCGTGTATTTTAGAGTATGTCGGACCTAAACATGTTCAAGAAGCCCACTTTAACCCTCAGGAGTTTGTAACGGCCTGTGTAACATGTTTGATGATTTTAACACTGTCACAGAGTCATAATAAGAAGCTCAAAGAAGTCTGAAACATACTAAGTTAGAGAAATGAATTCTCACCATTCTAACAGCCTGACAGGAGAAGAGTGTGAGCACTGTACCTGACTGAGAAACATCTTGGAGACAAATGTGGGATTTATGCAGTAATGAAAGTGTTGCTTCTGTGATCTCTCTTAGAGTCATGTATGTGGAGGGCAGAGCGTTGTATCCCTGCGTTGTTACCCGTGTTTGTGTTGGTGAACTGGGAGTAGAAGTCCTGATCTGATGGTTCTGGAGGAGGAAGCTGCTGCTGCAGGCTGAGAGCCGACATCAGTTCCTGAAGGAAGACGCCCGTCCCGTAACTGTCCCTGCTGAGACAGCACACGATATGGTCGGCCGAACGACCTGCAAACACAGGGGAGAACGAGAGAGAGAGGGAGAGAGAGGATCCATGAATAATTAAGAGAGTGACACAGAGTGATATCACACAGAGTTTGTGTGACCTCTGCAAACACCAAGTGCGTTCACATCCACTGACCTACGACTCTGAAGTACTGGTCGAACAGTCCCACATTGACAGACAGCAGCTCAGACAGTCTGATGGACAGACAGCAGCACAGACAGACGTCCGGATCTCCAGAGTCCATTACGTCCAACACTGCCAGAGAGAGACAGACGGACAGAGAGAGAGACAGACAGAGAGAAAGACTCGTTGGAGACTGGTTGTGATATCTGACTGCTGATATCTGACTGCTGATATCTGACTGCTGATATCTGACTGCTGATATCTGACTGCTGATATCTGGTCTGTGGAAATATCTCTCTCCCTCTTCATTGTTATCTGTTTATTNNGAGAGAGAGAGAGACAGAAAGAGATACAAAGAAGAGATTTAACTAAAGTCTACAGCCCCAGCAGTTGGTATTTTGTATGCAACACTCACACCAGGTTTGGTTGTGAAAGTCTATACAGTTACCATCTTAGTGGGTAAAAGGAATGTATCCATGGCAACAGGAGCAGTATTATTCTCAAATTACATGATGCTATTTTAAATGTAATCTTTTCACACTCTGACTGAGCCGATCACGTCAATTCATCCTACCTGAGTGCTGACCGAGCGTGGAGGCGGAGTCTTCCAACAGGAAGTAGATTGTATCGGTGGAGAGCAGCAGACAGCAGGTGAGCTCGGACTCAGGAGACTTGTAGAGAACCACAGACAGCCACAGGACCTGTCTCACCTCCTCTGCCTCAGACTGATTCAACAGAAAAGTTAAAAAAAAAAAAAAAGTTGAGATTGAATTTTGAACAAGAATATAAACACTGACTGAAGAACTTTGCTGAAATTAAAAGTGATCGATGTTGTGGGAGAACAAGCTTTCTTTGAACTGGGACAGAAAAAAATCCTCAAAAAAAAAAAAAAATGACTTCAGTCATCAAATGATTTCCCTCATGTCTGTAAGAAGTCAATGTTAGATTTCTATGAGGAGACTTTTTTAGTGACTATTGTGTCACAACCCGACTCTACATGCTGTCTTTATCTTATTTAATTTATTTTATCTTCAAGATAAAATTAATTGGAAACTACTTTAGTTAGTCTTATTATAGTTCTGACTCTTCTAGTTTTGCACTAATTAACATTTTATGATGTCACTTTTGGCTCTGGGAACATAAATCAGTCACGAAAATAATTGTTAGTTGCGACCTTGTAAATTTAAAATTCTTAAAACAACTATGATTTACTTATCTGGCAGAAAACATAACATCAAGATGGATTCAACGACAAATGCAGCACTGGTGTGTGTGTGTGTGTGTGTGTGTGTGTGTGTGTGTGTGTGTGTGTGTGTGTGTGTGTGTGTCCTACCATCGCTATATATCTGTGGAAGTAGGCTAGCAGTTGCGGTCCTCCAAGCCCTGCCAGGAGTTTCAGTCCTGGGGAGAGTCCCGGGGTGAGGTGGGGGGACGGCTGGTTCTCCTCCACTTGGAGGCGGGTTGAGTCCCAGCTGAGGAGGAAAAGGGAGGAAAAGATAAAAATATCAACAACAGTAATTAAGTAATCTCTCATGCTTGATGCAGAGCTGCTGTGGGAAAAGAAGATGACACGCTGTGCTCCCTGATGTTTGTTGAATGAATGTTGACTTTCAGGTCTTACAATCAAGGAGATTAATTAGTGTCCCAGCTACTATAATTATTGAGCTTTTATTTGAACACCACAGTTCCCAGATACAACATATAACAGCAACGGTCAATAAATCCTCTGAAGTGATAATTAGAGCCTTATAGTCGCTGATACTGATACTGATACGTACTATAAAGTAAATCTGTTTCTCTTTATATTACCTCAAACATATCTCTGATGTTTACTTATAACGTAACATATAGTGGACACTGGTATATCTGTGAAGAGATAACATCAGCAGACTCCTGTGATTAAGTGCTGAAATTACAGCTTCGTTGACATCCATCAGCATTTACTCTGCATCATGGTTTGTTTTAGATAAATAAATGTCGTATACACCCATAAATAGGTGCCCTGATAAGATAAGTACATTGTGTTTACAGTATTAGCCCACTGTGTAACTTTAATCAAAGTACAAGCATGATATTAGCATGATATAAATGCAGACATAAGAAGAAGAATTCTGCTGTTACATGGCGAGAAAGTAATACATGTTAACAGAATATAAACAGAAGTGCTCCAGAAGTCTACCTGTTGGTGCTGTGTGATTTTCTGGCACTGGTGCAACAGCACTGGTCTCTGGATCTGTAACGGCCTAAAAACACAACAAGGAGGTGTGAAACAAACTGAGAGAAGAAACAAGCGAGGGTCAAACTAAATTAGAATTAAGCCTGAGGGGAATTTCCTTCTTGGTGTGAGTGTTTGAGCAGGTAGTTGGTCTTCACCTTGCCCTTGGTGCGGACTGGGCGTGCAGGGCCGGGGCAGGGCCACCATCTTCAGCCCCTCCAGAGAGGCTCTCCGCTGGCTCAGCTCCCCCAGAAAGGAGCTTCTGTCCTGGGCCAGAGGGAAGAGCAGCAGCAGCCTCTGTCCGCCCAGCAGCAGCTCCACAGCGTGACTCCTCCTAGACACAACATGATGGTTAAAGATAATTACAATACTTAAAAAAAGCAAACAATGATTAACCTTTGTGTGCCACCAGAATAATTACAAACCTTTAGAAAACCTGATCAATAAAAAACTGATAAATAATAATTGTGCATGTTAAGGATCAACTAATAAACCCAAAGCTAAGTCAGTACTGAATGGCAACTGTAAATCTTTAAATGTAAGATGGTGTGTGACAGAAGGGGCCCTGATCTTCCAGTTTAATTCATTTATAGTCGGAGAAGGGAGGTCGTCAAATCAAATCATACTACAGTTATTAAAACACTATTTTCCAAGCTAGCCCAAGAAACAAAAAGTTAGAACATCCATTCATCCGATCACAGCCTCTGTACCTGTGGTGGTGTTTTGGGTCGGGGCAGGAGGTGTCGCTGGTTCTGTCCCCGACCAGAGAAGCGCTCTCTCTGGGGTGAAGCACCACGGAGCCGAGGGGCACCCGGACCAGCCTGCACCAGGAGGAAGAGGAGGAGGAGGAGTGATGAAGGTCACCGCTCCTCCTCTCTCTTTCTGCCAGCTCTCTGAAGTCCACCTTCAGCACCCAGAGGTGTCGGTGGGTGAGAAAGAGGAGAGAGGGGAGGCCGGGCTCCTCCGTCTTGGATAAAATGTCTGACAGGAGGGGGTGGGCGTCCGGGGCAGAGGAGGAGGAAGACGAGGAGGGAAGAAGGTGGGCAGGATAGCCTCCCTGGGCTCCCTGACTCTCCTCCAGCTCCCAGGAGTTGATGAGCGATCGAGGGAGGAGCTGAGGAGTGTTGGGGGGCTCCGGGTTAGTCTGAGATCCTGCAGCCTGGAAAACAAATGAGGAGGTTTTCTACATAATAATACAGAAATTAAAGCTGTTTGACGAATTACAGACTGAACCGTGTTGATTTTATGTCTTTAATGAAATGCTGTCTGCAAATTAAACTTCTTTTTTGGGGCAATAAAGTACAGCACTGCTCTTAAATGTAAAATATTTAAAAGAGCACTTGATTTAACACCTAAGATGAAACAAAAACTCATGTAATCAAAACTGAAAAATCAACAGTGATTGAAAATTGAGTAGAAGCTGTTTTTTGATTATAGGGACCCTAAGAGGCTCATGTGCTGCTCTCTGACCTGGATCAGCACCGTCAACTCGGTCCTGGTCTGCCGAACCCCCTCGGCCTCGGAGAAAATGTACCAGCGGGTCGAACCGTCTTTGAGTCCGAAGGCGAGGCAGGAGTCGGGGAGCTCGAGTCGGGAGGAGAGCAGGAGCCGGGAGTACGGCAGCAGGAGGTCCACCTGCAGGCTGGACAACACCTCCTCCGCAGACGGACTCTGCTCCTGGTCTGAAAACAGGAGAACAGATCGCTCTTCAGCACAAAGCAAAATCATCCAAATGTTGGCTTGATTGATTTATTTTTATCTTACAACACACTCGGTTGTAACTGGTATAACATACTTTTACTGGCCACCAAGTTATAGGTCGGTCCTGCTGTTGGTCTTTATTATGATTTTACTGTTAATTAGCAGCCACGGTAGATTAAGTTTGACTTTAAGGCAAAAATTATTGTCAGCTTTGTGATGACAAAAAAAGGAGGAAGAAGTGTCCTTGTAATAATTGTTCAGTTATTTCTTGGTTTCTGTCAAAGATTTACATACGTGTATCCAATTAAATATGTTTTGGATCAACCTGCATGGGACTGTTGTTGTTTCCTCCTCTGTTCTGTCTGATGTTGAACAGTTCAGTGTCTCCATTGTTGTCTATACTCCACTTTTAAGGAAAGGTAACTAGATTTAACTAACTAGAACACAAGTCAAGCTCTGTTTCACTTCCTGTTACTAAACAGGGTTTAGGTCTGGTGATGCATCTGTCTGACTGTTGGTTTGAAGAACAAGCCTTTTCATTTTGGACTAGATAGATATGTCTCAGAGCATTTCAATTTTTTTATCCTTCCATGAACAAAAGTCTAATGAAGCAGGATTAACTGGATAACTACCTGCTTCAGACGTCACAGCAAAGTTATCCAGTTTACATAATAATCCTGCTACATTAGAGAAACCTCAAATTACTGAATTACTTCAATCTAAGATGGGTAGCAAAACACAATTCATACAAATAAATATACCAAACAGCAGTTGCAACCACAGTTTCCATATTTGTTTGTATAAAATATACAAACAAAGTTCACCTGCGTCATGATTGGTCCACGTGAAATCATCTGGTAGGTACAGAAGGCCCAACAGCCGGTCCGTCAGCACCAGACACGCCTCCTTCTGCTCCACCTCCTCCTTCACCTGAAGACAGTAGCACCACAGAATCCTGCTGACCTGCACCTCCTCCTCACCACACAGCTCCTCCTGGTGGCCAACGGGCTCTTCTGCAGGAGGAACAGCAGGTGACGTGGAAGAGGAGCAGACCGACTCCTCAACAGAGTCATCCAGACCCATCTCAAAGTATCCGTCCCTGGAGCCTGGACTGTAATAATGAGCATAAAACAGTGGATGAATCAAGAATCATCCGTACTTTATGTCATTTCAGTGTTTATACTTTTTTACATTTTGATATTATAAAAAAATACACAGTTCAGACATAATAATATCAGCAACTTCTGTAAATCCCCAAATTTGTGTGAATTACAGGGGATCTCAGAAGCCCAGAAACTATTTAGGAAACCAGTTTTCAGGGACCTCAGAAACCAGTCTAACCATTAGGGGATCCAACAAACTACTGGGTATTTTAAGCACTCTTAAGAACATCTGGGGAATCACAGAAACCAGTGGGAACAACTGAGAAACCCAGGAACCACCAGGAATTTATGGGAATCACCAAAACCAGAAGGACGTTTAGGGAAACCAGTCAGGTCCCTAAAAAACAGCAGGATTGTCTAAGAAACCAGTGGGACCTTTAGGGTATCCCAGAAATCATTGGGAATTCTGAAACATCAAGGATCCCACAAATGAGTAGGCTTTAAGGGAATCACAGGAACCAGTAAGAGAAGGTTGCTGGTTAAATTACCTGGGACTTCCCACCTCGGTGCCCTCGACACGGGACTGAAGAACCTCTCTGGACTCAGATATCTTCTCTTCCTCCCCCTCCTCCGCTTTCTCTTCCTCCTCCTTTGTCTTGTTCTTCTGCTCCTCCAGGGTGGAGCTGAGAAGATGGGAGAGCTGGGTAATGAAGTCTTTGTTGTGGGAGGAGAGGGAGAGCAGCGGAGTAGGAAGTAGGGGACACCAGGCGGCGCTGCAGGAGAAGCAGGTGGTTTCAACTGGTCTGGAGGAGGAAGAGGAGCAGTCACAACTGGAGGAGAGAGGAGGGAAGGGTGCAGATTTCTTTTTAATTGTCTGCGATGTAATCTGCACAGAAGAAACACTCGCCCACCATCATTTAACCAACTGTAGAATCACTTGTTTTATTGCTGTTAAGCTATCGTCCTCAACACGGTGAAACTCAACATTTCCTTTTCTTTCTTAATATTCTTTGTGAAGAAGGACTCAGCCTCTGTACATGGGGTGCCAGCTCCACCAGGTGAGCTACCAGGGCACGCCATCCAGCACAGATTATTTCACATTAAAAGCGTTCTAGTGGCTCGAGATGTTGAGTTTCACTGACGGTAGGATAACAGCAATGAAAAAAGCATTTAAAGTAAAAGCAACTGGATATTTATTTACTGTTGCTGCTTTATATTATAGTAGTAACACTGTTATTTGATACTGACCAGACAGTAATAGTAGGAGTCGTAGTAGTAGAAGCCCTTGTGGGAGCTCCACCTTGTGTGTGTTCAGACAGACTGACAGCAGGTTGTTGTACCTGCAGACAAACACATGAAGCATCAGCAACATCCGTTATTTGAGCTAAATGCTCACAATGACTATGGTAGCACATTATGTTGAACACGTTGACCATGTTAGTTTAGTATGTCAACATATGGAAAGATGTATTTTAGCATTAAACTCAAAGTAGAGGCAAATATGAGGCTGATAATCCTTTCAACATTTGTCAAGCTATTTTATTCTGGACCGCAGTGTGACACACAGAAACGTTTACAAGACTATTGTTATTATTAATGTCAGTATTTTCAGTCCGTATTTGAGACCTCTGACAGTTCAATCTGTAAATATCTCACATTTAGTTGCATCCTTCACAATGCACATTCACACATATTTGCATTAAGACATTGTGTTCAGTGATACACTCCTAATCTGCATACATTTCCTCCTTTTACATAAAATCTTTTACACATTTCTGGACAGTCCCTGACCCTCCACTCCTCCCATCCAACCGCTATCCTATTGGTTGTCATGGTAACAGACACCTGCCCTCCCCGGTGTTTCAGGTATGTGTGTGTGTGTGTGTGTGTGTGTGTGTCTGACCTGGGCGGGGTCAGCAGACAGGAGGTTTGTATTAGTGTTAAAGCTTGCGGGGGGAGGTGCAGCGTCCACAGGAGGGAGGACACTGGGGGGAACTGCGGCTCCTTCTCCGTTCGTCACTTCTGAAACAGAAACCAAACGGATGAGCGACACTGACAGCGAGGAGCAAAGTTTGACTGATGTGACAAGTCTTAAAATCTGAAAATTTATGTTCACAAAGTTTTACATATTTTTGTGTTTTGAACTGTTGGAGAAAATAATAACAGATGAATCGATTGTTGGTTGAAATCTGACATAAGAGGCTTAAAAATGATCAACACTGGCTGCTCTAAGCTCCAGTTGAGAACATATTCATGCATACAGAAATATGTTATCAGAGGTAATGAACACCAGATTTTTCAAATCTTCTAAAAAAACAAACACATGCCACAACAGTCAAACATCACAAAGTACCGACATGCGTTTGGTTCTTACTGTTCAGATTCAGACACTGGCGCAGTGTGCAGCCTGTACTAAGCCAGAACAAATATTAGTGTCACAGACGGAGGTTAATGAGCAATGAGCAGGGTGTCACACAGCCTCCAGCCAAACATCGGTGAATATCAGTTTCTGAATAATTATTCTCCTGTCGAGTTCCACCAGCTGTTTGTAAATCCATAACTCAGTCTGTGTCTAATGGCTCAGAAATAAACTTATCTAGAAGAAATGGAGAGATGGTTTTTAAATGACCTCAAAAATATATTTGATATTTCTGTACTAATATTTCTAGTTAATGAAGCATTTTGAACTAATGGTTTTCATAATGCCAGACTTTAGGAGCCCCTTCAGCACAACTACTTCCAGAGCTGATGCAGCTGACGTACAATTTTCCAATAATATCAGAGTTGCAGTGCTTTTATAGAAGGATCAGTTGTCTTAGTAAAGCATCAGTTAGCTCTACTTGTAGTCTGATAATCAGATTCATTCTTCTGTCAAACATCTTGATCTCGGATTATTCAGCTGTAAACCAATTAGCAAAGACTAATTTATCCGTCCTGTAATGCAATTTTCTGTTGACAAAGAAGCCGTGGCAGCAGTGGTTGCCAGCAGCGTTCCACTTAAAGTCTGTGAGGTCGATTGAAGAAACGTGGATTTAAGAGAGTAGCCAAATTACAACAACTTGTACAGCTGCAAACATCTAAAAACACACTTTACAGTCGCAGTGTTTCTGTGTATTATTATAGTTGGTTGGTGTTAATATAACTACAGCTACATTTTATGTAAGGATGAATGAGGCTGGTGCAACCTGCGTGATGAATAAATGTCATCTTATGTTAAAAGAGTTTTAAACAGCTGAATCAACAGACAACTGAAGCAAAGCATCTACAACAGGAAATATAAAGCTGAGAGATTTTTTAGAGGTTAAAGAAGATGCTCTCTATCGGGAATGATAGCAGCAGGTTAGCTTCAACAGGTAACAGGTTTTTTTCCACTGCAGCAGAGTGACGCCCTGCGTTAACAGTTCCTGATGCATTTACAGCTCTTAGGAACATTCATAAGATACAGATCACAAGAGGAAAACCCACACTGTATCCAACCAGACTCAGAGTCTCACATAACTGCAATGGAAAAAAAGTGTTAGCCACTGTAGTGCTAATCCTTGTTATCTGAAGACAAAAGACAAAATCAGTGAGAATTAAACAAAACTTTGTCTTTAAGGAAAGCAGCAGCCAGACAGATTTTATGTTTTCACGTTTCTACACAAATTCAATAAAATATACATAACATAACTCTTTGGACTGCTTTGGAAGGTGGATTTGTTTCATTGTTGATGAAGCTACGTTCGCAGATTTCCCCTGTTTCCTGTCTTTGTGCTAAACTAGGCTGAGCACATCCATAGGCGCATAAGAAGTGGAAGGAAATAAAAATACTGTGATTAAGCCTCTGACTTTCACTAAGCTATTTCACTGTTAGCTATCTGTCAAGTAGGTGTACGAGGAACACACATTAGGACAATGTTATTAAAGTTGTAAACAGAAGGTAACAGGAAATCAATAAAATTAATTAAACAACAGTTTTGATCATTGAATTTATCGTTTTAGTCGCTCATTAAGTCAAAACACCAACTATTTTCCAGTTCCAACAATTAGCAGATTTACTGCCTTTCTCTGTTTTATATCGTAAACTAATAGCATTGTAACAAATGTCTTTTTTTCTTTACATTTGAAGCTTCTATTTAGGTTTTTGAACGAAGCTTTAGATGTCTGTCTGTCTGACACCAACCCCCTGAAAACAAAAAAAAAAACAAAAACACAATCCGCAATTTGAATAAAGTGATTCATCAGATTAAATGAGTTAGTCTTCTTTTGTTAAGTAAAGGCAGAATAAGTAGGATTTGTGGTTGCCGTTTGTAAACACACAATTGAAAGTTGGGAGAGAGAGAGGTAGAGGGTCGATGTGGAGAGGGAGCAAACCAGTGAATTAGAGAAGGTTATTTTTCGGATTTTGTTTATGCTCTAAAGCACAACAAATAAACAAGGCCACACCTCCGCAAAGTCCTGGGGGAAGGAACCACATTGTCTGCTGTGTGATTGTGTGTATGATTGTGTGTGTGTCTCAGCACTGCCCTCCATCAGACAGACACACACAGACCTGCAGCTCACAACACAGACTGAGAGCATTTAGGAAAGAGACGGAGAGAGTGGACAGATTAATCAATAATTAAAATCATTACTAGCCTCAGCTTCATCGTCCGCAGTCAGCTGTTGTTTTTTTGGGAATCACCAAAGAGCAGAGAAACATATCGGTCTGTCTGGCCGCTGCCTTACAGCAGAAATAACAACCACCGTCCCCCCACCCTCCCCTCAGACCTGCACAGCCTGATACATACATGATTACCTTGGCTGGGGCAGGCAGCCTGCTGGGCCGGACAGGAAGAGGAGGAGGAGGAAGAGGAAGAGGAGGAGGTGACAGCAGGGGGAGCAACAGCAGAAGAGCAGCAGGAGGAGGAGGAGGAGGAGGAGGAGGAGGAGGGGAGAGAGGAGGAGGAGAGGTGAGGAGGTGCAGCGGCAGACAGCCTGGTCTCCTCACTGATCTGACGAGAGGACAGAGAGGAGGAAGCCTTCAGAGAGCAGCAGTCACCTCATCATCATCATCATCAACCAGATCACATCCTAAAACCTAAAACCTGCTACCGGCCGCTCCATCAGCAGCAGAGCAACAGTCACTTTATTAAGACTGATGTGTTGCAGCTGCATTAGTCCAGCTCTGCTCTGGTTGGGTGAGTTCTATGAGGCTGAGGCAAATCTGTGTGCTGAAAGTTTGAACATAACCTTCCGACGTTCCTGAAAGCTTTTTCAGTTTTCTTTAAAGCTGTAAATCTGCGAACAAGCTACAATCAATATTTTGCTTTCGTGAACCTTGTGATCGATAGTTTCCTTCTGCAGAAAGAGCTCGTAAAGGTTTGTGTTCAGGAGATATTAATACACTGCCCTGAAAGACTGCGATCGCTTCCTGTGTGGGTGTCCAGCCTTCAGCATGAAGCCACTTTTACTTTTAAACATTCTGTCTGAAAGGTGGAGCAACATGTAGATTATTTACTCTGTATGGTAGTCAAACTATTAAAACCCAACACACTCAGTAATGAGCTTCTGCTAAGCCTATTTTTATGTTACAAAAGCAAGAACACTCCTCTGTATACATTTATCTAAGAAAAAACATCACTGTTGAGTACAGACACATTTCATTAATAATAAATAAAAGCCTAGCCTGGTTCTGAAGCTCTGAAAGGCCACACACACGCATCTCTGATTTATTCAGTGATTCAAATACGTCAGATGTTGTGCTTATTGACTTATTGATTCTCCTGTGGGAAAAACAACCGAGCCAATCAAAGCTTTACAGGCAGGACTAAGACTGTGGACGTCATCTTCCTGTACAGTCACACATTAAAATTAATCTTGGTTATTCTGGATACTCTGATAATGACCAACAAGCAGCAAACTTACAAGATTGTTCTGCAGGAAGAAACAGTTGAGTGAAATAATTAACTGTAGCTTCTTCAAAAAGGTCCACAAAATATTTTCCACACATTTTAGCTCACAAACTTCACGGAGCAGTTTACATTGGTGCATTGTTACGAGTAAGATTACAACCTCACATATCGAATAATGCCCAAACGTATATTTGTATTACATCTTAACTCTGCTGCTGACGTGCACGATCTCTGGTTTGTGACTGCAGTATGTGCAGTACGTGCAGTGACTAGCAGAGTGTGTTTCAATAACAGCTGGTCACTCTTCAGGCTTCAGAGATCTGTTAGTAATTAACTTGAGATCAGGATCACTATTGATCACATCTAGTCGGTGGATTTTGTCTTGCGGTGATTTCTGATTGTTCTACAAGAGTTAGGAGTTAGTTGATGTAGTGGTTTTAGAATTAACAACTACTCGAGCAGGGTTAATCTATTTGGGAGCTCTGTGACAAAGATGTAACATTCAACAGTGGTTTGAGCTCAGAAGGTCAAAGTCTCAGGAGTCCAATCAGTGCACAGCATGAGTTTACTTCCTCTGATACTGATGAAGCTGAAATATTCAGTGCTGTCTGATAAATTCTTCTTAAGAGATACAGAAAGTGTCTTGGTTTAAGCTCTGCTGTTTCACAGTCCTAAAAGAGATTTATAAATTACTTATTCACACATAAATGATTTAAACTCTCAACAGTTCTAATAATAATCCTTAATGTGCAAACTGTAAGTTAACTTTATTAAATACTGACAGTTGAACCATATAAACTAGTCTGGTAGATTCAGTGTAACAGAACAGACCTTCTTGTCGCCGCTGCTCATCCTGTCTTTGACTTCTTTGGCTTTCTGAATGGCTTTCAACACTTCCACTGTGTCTAGCTCCTTCTCTGTTGTCACTGTACCGTCCAAACAAACCTGATGACGCAGAGACAAAAGACAAAAACACACACAGTTTTTTTTAAAAAGCAGTAGAATCAACAGTATTAATAACAACAGCTGAATGAATGCTAATGCTACCAGAAGTACAG